AAGAAAATTAGTAAAACCAAAAGCTGGTCCTCTGAAAAAAAATCAATAAATCAATAAACCTAAAGCTAAGAAAAAAAGACACAAATTACTAGTATTATAAGGGAAAGAGAGGACATCATTACAGATCCCATCGACACTTAAAGGATAATAAAAGAACATTATGAACAACTCAATGCCCACAAATTTGATAACCTAGATGAAATGGACCAATTCCCTGAAAGGCATAATCTGTCAAAACACAAGAAGAAAATGACAATCTGAATAGGCCTGTATCTTTTAAAGAAATAGAATAAATAATTAATAACCTTCCAAAACAGAAAACACCAGGCCCACACTGGTTCATTGGTGAATTCTACTAAACATTTTTTTTTAAGATTTATTTATTTAGGGGCGCCTGGATGGCTCAGTTGTTAAGCGGCTGCCTTCGGCTCAGGTCATGATCCCAGGGCTCTGGGATCGTCCTGGGATCGAGCCCCGCATTGGGCTCCCTGCTCAGCAGGAAGCCTGCTTCTCCCTCTCCCACTCCCCCTGCTTGTGTTCCCTCTCTTGCTATCTCTCTCTGTCAAATAATAAAATCTTTAAAAAAAAAGAAAGAAAGAAAGAAAGAGGGCGCCTGGGTGGCTCAGTTGGTTGAGCGACTGCCTTCGGCTCAGGTCATGATCCTGGAGTCCCGGGATCGAGTCCCACATCGGGCTCCCTGCTCAGCGGGGAGTCTGCTTCTCCCTCTGACCCTCCCCCATCTCATGTGCTCTCTCTCTCTCAAATAAATGAATAAAATTAAAAAAAAAAAAACAAGAAAGAAAGAAAGAAAGAAAAAAAGAAAGTTATACCAATTCTCTACAATCCTTTCCAGAAGAGAGAAGAAGGAATACTTCCTAACTCATTCTGAGGTCAGCAATACCCTAATACCAAAACCAGAATGGAAAAAAACCTACAGATCATTATCTCTCATTAACCTAGATGCAAAAATCCTTAACAAAATATTAACAAATCAAATCCAACAAAGTGAATGGTACAGACAGACTGGAGAAGGTCAGAATTCAAAATACCACCAACTGGCAATGATAGCAAATTTTCCCCTCTTTGAGAGATACTTTGAGTATCTCTCAAAGTGAACTCAACACAGCCCAAAACCTGGATACCGGCATCAGTGTAGATAGTTCCATTAGGACAGAAGTCTCCTAATGCTCAGCAACAAAGCAAGAATTTCCCCATTCTCTTTTTTACTTTTATTTTTAATTTTCCTTGTTCTCTCATACCTCAAACCCCAAGTAATTCTGTGGCAACAATAGCAACAGAGTTAAATAGGTGCCTAAAACTCTCAAAGGAGAGAAACCTTCCCCTCCATATCAGAAGAGTTATGGTACCAAGAGAATGAGACAAAACCCCATTGCTCTTTTAACGTCTCTTGTTTCCTGCTGCTTAGCCCAAGGGGGACACAGTTGTAGGAAAAATACAGAGTGGAATAAAGAAAATTTCTGGCCAAAGATGAAAAATAGGAGTTCCAAGGAATCAGACATAAGAACTCAGGAAAGTGACCCCTTAAAGTTGTGAACGAACTCCTCAGCTAACACCTGAGCTGTGCATACATGGACTGGATACTAAAACAGAATAGATAGACTTTGAGAACTGAACTATAGAATAGATTGGGGTCAGCAAAACTTTTCTATAATGGGCCAAACACTAAATATTTTAGGTTTTGTGGGCCTAACAGTCTCTGTCACAACTGTTCAACTGTGACCAATAAAGTATGAAAGCAGCCACAAAAAATACCAACAAGTGGGCATGGCTGTGTTCCAGTAAGATCTTATTTATAAAAATAGGCAGTGAACTGCATCTGGCCCACAGACCATAGTTTCATAACCCATAGGGAAGACCACCACCCAAATCCCAGATACTACTATCATGGTTCACACAAAGGACAAATCCAAATAGCAGTCAAAAGTCTTTGAAGACTTAACTGACATTGAAACAACCCACAGAAGGCTGGTCAAAACTTGAAGCCTAAACACAATTCAGTCAACTGTTTGCTAAAACAAAACTATTAACATAAAACTTAAACAAGACACAGAGTATCAATTACAATCTAAATTTACTTGGTATAGCAAGACCCAGGAAAACCTCAACTTCCTTGGGAAAGAAAATCAAAAGATAGAAGCAACAAGATAACCCTGATAGGGGAAATGTTTCACAAAGACTTAAAAGCACTTATTATAAAAATGCTCCAAGTAAAGGTAAACACTCTTGAAGGAAGAGGAAGATACAAAGTAGAATATAAAGAAAAACCAAATGGAAATTTTAGAACTGAAAAACAACCAAAACAAACAAAAAAAACACCTCACTGAACAAATCAATAGCAGAACAGGAAGTGAACATGAAAACAGAAAAATAGGAATTACCTAATGATTGGAGGGGAAAACAAACAAACAAACAAAAAAACCTTTACTCAAAATTTAAATTTCTGTATGTCAAAGGACATATCAAGAAAGTGAAAAAAACAGCGGTACCTGGCTGGCTCAGTTGGTGAGAGCATGAGACTACTGATCTCAGGATTGTGAGTTCAAGCCCCATGCTGGGTATAGAGATAACCTAAAAATAAAGTCTTTAGGGGCACCTGGGTGGCTCCAGTCAGTTAAGCATCTGCCTTCGGCTCGGGTCATGATCCCAGGGTCCTGAGATGGAGCCCCACATCGGGAAGCCTGCTTCTCCCTCTCCCACTTCCCCTGCTTGTGTTCCCTCTCTCTCTGACAAATAAATAAAATCTTTAAAAAAATAAATAAAACAAACACAGAAAGTGAAAAAACAACCCACAGAATGGAGAAAATATTTCAAATGATGTATCTGATAAGAGACTTGTATGGGGGGCGCCTAGGTGGCTCAGATGGTTAAGCGTCTGTCGGTCTTCGGCTCAGGTCATGATTCCAGAGTCCTGGGATCGAGCCCTGCATCAGGCTCCCTGCTCAGCGGGAAGCCTGCTTCTCCCTCTCTCTCTGCCTCAAGGATTGGCAAGAATGTGAAGATACTAGAATCCTCAAATATTGCTGGTAACAATGTAAAAAAATAGATGGTAAAACAGTTGGGCAACTCCTCAAAAAGTTAAACAAAGAGCTAACATACAACCTAGCAATTCCACTCCTAGATATATAACAAAAAGAATTTAAAAACCAAAAAGAATTGTTTTGGTTATTTTTCAGTTTTGCTCCCTCTACTAAAGGTCCTCTCTTCTTATGTTGTTACTCTCTAGAACACTCTGCAGGGCAGGAGTGTTGTCTCCAGCAACCTCCTGTTCCACATGCAGCAGGGAAATGTGGGCTGGAACCCACAGGCTACAAGTGGGTTGTTCAGCAGCGTTGATACAAAAAGTTGTACATACAATGTTCATGGCTGCATTATTCACAATAGCCAAATAGTGGCAACAACACAAATGCCTATCAACTGATGAATAGATAAAAGGGAGTATATCCATACAATGGAATATTATCCATCAGTCATAAAAAGGACACATGCTACAATACAGATGAACTTTGAAAACACTATCTTACATGAAAGAAGTCAGATGCAAAAGGCCACATGTTTATTGTTAGGATTCCATTCCTATGAATCCAATATAGGCAAATGCACAGATATAGGAAGTAGATTAGTGGTTACCAGAGGCTGAGAGGAGGAGGGGACAGAAAGTGACTGCTAGTAGTAATAAAAATGAGGCTGAAAACAGAAAAACAGAGAAAAATTAAAGAAACCAAAAGCTGGGGCACCTGGGTGGCTCAGTCGGTTAAGCGGCTGCCTTCGGCTCAGGTCATGATCCTGCGGTCCTGGGATCGAGCCCCACGTCCGGCTCTCTGCTCAGCGGAGAGCCTGCTTCTCCCTCTCCCTCTGCCTGCCACTCTGCCTACTTGTGCTCTCTATCTCTCTGTCAAATAAATAAATAAAATCTTTAAAAAAAAAAAGAAACCAAAAGCTGTTCTTTCAAGAGATCTATAAAATTGATAAACCTCCAATAAAAGGAACAAAGAAAAAAAGAAAAGACACAAATTACCAGTATCAGGAATAAAGAGGGGCTATCACTACAGACTCTGCAAACAATAAAGGAATACTACAAAAGACTCTACAGACACAGATTCAACAACTTACATGAAATGGTTGACCAACTCTGGGAATTGGTGAAACTCCTAAAACCTACCCAAGATGACACAATCTTTTTTTTTTTTTTTAAAGATTTTATTTATTTGACAGAGAGAGACACAGCAAGAGAGGGAACACCAGCAGGGGGAGTGGGAGAGGGAGAAGCAGGCTTCCCGCGGAGCAGGGAGCCCGATGCGGGGCTCGATCCCAGGACCCTGGGATCACGACCCGAGCGGAAGGCAGACACCCAACGACTGACCCACCCAGGCGCCCCAAGATGACAATCTTAATAGTTCTGTAACTATACAAGAAATTGAATTCACAGTTAAAAAGCTTCTGTAAAAGAAATCTCCAGACCCAGAAATTTTCACTGGTGAATTATATCAGATATTTACAGAAGAAATAACACCAGTTCTACAAACTATCAATTCTCACTATTCACAACAATTATGTTCTATTAAGTACCTGCAAACACTACATTAGCAAATACTGAATCGTTGCTCCTAAAATAAATACAGTTAGGTTCCTGAAAGACTCTGCTCACATTTCTGTCAACTAATCAATACAACTTTGATTTTATGCGCTTCTGTTTAAAGATATCTTATTTAATACATATTAATAATGCATTAACACTGAACTCATGGCCAACAGCACTGTAAAACTCATGCCTAAACAAAGCTTATCTAACGCAGGCAATTTTCTCCATAAGGAACATCTTTTTTTTTTTTTTTTT